TTTGGCCTATATCAATGGCGAACAAAACATGGTGGCTGGATACCTGAAGCAATATAGCCATAATAAGATCGGTCAAAATCTTGTAAAATCAACTATATAATGACCTGTAAATACATATAAGAATAGAATCCCTTGAAAACATGAAATTTATAAGAAAAAAAAAAGACAAAGGATGTGTTTATAGCTACCAGGCAGTATATTTATTAGCACTAGGCATTAATGAGTATGACTGAGTGATATTAAGGGTTATTTGTGGGCATAAACTCCAATAGTTGACATCACATATTAAATGAGGTCATTAGGAAAGCTAAGATTGACTAAAAGATGTAAGTATTTTAATCCAGCATCATATTTCAGTTTGGAAATTCTTTTAACATATGTATGTATATATGTGTGGGTGTGGATATGTGTGTGTGGGTGTCACTCTGGGTGTGAGTGTTTGTATGCGTGTGTGTTTGTATGTTTGTGTGTGTGTGTGTGTGTGTGTCTGTGTCTGTGTGTCTGTATGTCTGTGTATCTGTGTCTGTGTCTGTGTCTGTGCCTATATGTGAATCATATACATAAATGTATATACATATACAGATATTTGATAGATTGATTGATAAAAAAAAAAGAATATTTCTTTTCAAGAACCTTAAAGAGACAAGTAAATTCTCATACTGCAGTTGTCTCATATATCTGTATATAATAGAATTTTTTTTTTTATTGTTTTGGCAGTTCATGCTAGTAGAGGGAGGAATATACATATATGTCCACCATGGTAAATAGCTCAAAATAATTTCCCATTAGAATATTCTTTCAATGAACAACTGGTAGACATAAGGTAATATAGATAGTAGATACTATCATACAGTAATATTAGTATTTTAAATTCAAATAGTTTATGGATACATATGAAATAGCCTTAATATCATATTTTGTAATTTTTTGGGGGGTGAATACTTTTATTTGTTCATTCTATGTTAGTTTTATATTAATGTATATTTACACTCTTATTATATAACCTATTGATAATCAATGTTGAATGATATTCACATGGGATGAATTCCAAATTTCCAATTAACATATGAAGTTGTGGCTTACTACATATTATCATATGCCAAGTTGGACTACTGTAAAGAGATATTAAGCAGAAAATAAGTTTGATATCATGTGAATACATAACTTACAGTTCTAAGAAGTACTTCATATATTATTGCTGAGTAAAGTAATTTGTTTTAGGATCAATCATGAATTTATATTTGTCCAACTTGTAAGCCATCTCTCCAGTCTGTTTTGTCTTCAATATTTTGAATAGTAATATGAATATTTAAAGAAATACTTCACTGTTGTTAAATGCATTAGTCTCTATATACTTTTCTCCATACTACTATACTATGAAGTATGATAATTTATTTTCTTGTCTTATATGTGTGTATATTTTTTTGCATGAGCACTCTTTTCACTCATCTTGAATAAGACACCGTGTGCTTTACTCTTCACTGATCATGTGTGTGTCATGGTTTCGGTTAAGTGATCTGTTTGTACTCCTTGGCAGTGACTTTCTGCTGATGTTGTTTTTTAACCTCTAAATGGTGGGTTACTTTTCAATTCAATTTCATTTTAAGGGGAAATATTGTAATGGAAATGCAGTAGATCAGTCCACCTTTAAAACAATTATGGAATATGTTGTTATTTGCTTCGAAATTTGCACAGGCTGGATAGTGATAAGTAATGAATGCAAGGGAGAGGCAGCGTGTCAAGTTGATGTTATTGTCGTCAACATTATCATTATCTTTGTTATCATCACTGAAATGATTCTGACTGTAACCATCATTATTAAGGTCACCATTATCATTATTACTGTAATTATCATTACATGGGAGCACAAAGACATCAGTGGATATGGATTATCTGCTGACTGCTTTTCCTACACACTAGAGTTGTGGCCAGTTGCTCCATTGGGAATTTTAGGTATTGAGAGGAGTGAACGTTAGCCTTATCCCATTTCTGTCTTTTAAATAAGGCTGCAAAATCAGTCTCTATTCTAGAGCCTCACCCACCTTTCTCTAAGGCAGTCATGCACCATTTAGAGGTTGATTTTGAATGATTGTTATATATTATTGTTATTTTAATGTGAATCATATAATTGCAGCTATATGTATGATTTACAAGTACCCATACTAATAAGTATGCTGGCTATTTTACTGTGTATGATATGTCCTTTGTCAAATGCAAGTAATTTGATGTTGAATTATATGAATTGAAGAGTTGAGTGTATTTATATCATGATATAAGTTATTATAGACAAACAAATGTATGTAGTTGTTTAGAAAACATATTAGAGAGCATTTTGTAGTGTTTAGCATGGTTGTAAGGTAGTTATTTTAATACAACTTATTCATTTATATGTTTTCAAAAATGTAATGGATTTTCATGTGACTAACAATGATTTGTATATTTTTGTATTTATCATTGTTCTTTGGCACGTTTATACACTCCTATGCAATTAGTGAGTGGC